AGTCTGGCAAAGAGCTCATTCAAGCCCGTTTCCAATCCGTCGAAATCGAGGCACCAATCAGCAACGTTGGGGCGGGCTTTACACGATGACGACAGCGCTGGGGTTTTGAAGCAGATTTTGTAGCCTACATTACAAAGATGGATGCCGCCGTCGAACATCACTCGTTCGAATCAGCTATCGCGTCTGTTTTAAGCGATTTGAACGTTTCCCTTTTTGTTAAAAACCGAGCAAAGAACAACACTCGGAGATGTTTCTCCGCCACTCTGCATACGTCATCTCATTCATCGCTCTGATTGGTTCTAGGTCTATCCGCGACGTCTGTTGGTGACGCCCCTCTGGAAATGATTTGTCTATGACGCTTTGCCAGACCATAACTCAGTTACAACTGAGAATGGTCTGGTTTTAACCAGGCTAGAGAATGATCAAAACAACCACTTAACAGCCTATAACATTGACGATACCAGACAAGGAACAGAATGAAACACAGGGTTTAAATGCAAAGAGCAAACAAAGAGAACTAATTAAGACCACAGCTGAAGTCAAGTCAAGTCACCTTTATTTCTAGCGCTTTTTACACGAGGGATTGTTTCAAAGCAGCTTCACAGTGATAACAGGAAAATAATGCAAACAAGTGTGTTTTGGCTGTACAGCAGCTCTAGAAGAAAATAATGTCATAGTCCAGCTTAAGTTCGTTCAGTGATGGTTCATCTTTGTAGTAAAAAAGTTAGTTAAATTAGTTAATTTATCTATACAGCAGCTCTGGAGAAAACAGTGATGTCATCGTCCAGCTCAGGGGTGCGTTTCCCGAAAGCATCGTTAGCCAACTATGGTCGCAAGTTCCGTCGTTATCAGCATAGTTCAACGAGTCGTTGTTTCCCGAAAACATAGTTCTAACGAACATTCGCAAACAGCATCGCAGAGTTGTGTGGTTGGAACGACAGCTCTTGACCTGTGGTTATAGTTTCTTGTTTGCATGACATGGGGACTTAATAAATCCGTATCGTGAGCAAGCTGACATTTAGTGCAACCTGTTTCTTTTATTTAGAATACATACAAATGTAATTTACATCTTTGAGTTTGTCAAGAGATTTAAAGCACCGTTTTTGAAGAGTGCCCAATGCGCGCATGTTCCTACGACGTAAGAACGAGCCTGGAAGTAGAGCAAACTGAGAAAAATTAGAAATAGTCCTCAGATGCCATGTCCGTAATTTAGAGAAAAACATCTAACATTAATTCGATCTCAACAGATTCAGTAGTTATTACTCCACCACCTGCGTGACATCATTAACCAACGTGGTTGAGTTAAGCAAGCCAAAAGTCAAAGTGGTGAGGAACCAAAACTACATCAGTGGCAGGATGGAGAAAAAAAAAAAACTTGGGATAAAACAAGTTCTCCTCTGGCCAACGTACCAACAGTGTATGATTATGATTCAGGCAGCATTACAGCTCAGAAGTCAGATGAGGTAACATACTAAGAAATCAGGCAGACAAACAGGAACATAACCAACGGAAACTCAACAAAACAGAACATGATCTTGACATCTACGTAAAGACTAATGATAATTATATTGAAACGAAATTAGATTAAAGATGCAGATGAACTATTTTATTTTCAAGGTTTCATTTACACCTTTCACTAAATGCAGATCATGTAACATGCAGCATACTATTGAGGCATACTATTGTTTAAAACGTTTTATCGATTACAAAAGAGGAAGTATACAGTGGAGGATATATTGCGGAGGATATATTTGCCGTATAACCTAAGCAGTTTGCTACTGTAGTTGTCACATTGTCAGTCTGTTTTGATTTCTGTCTGAGTTCTGGCAATTAATTCAGTTCTGTCTTTCTCCGCCCCCTGTCTGTTTGTTTCTATGGTGTTTGATTGATTGTTAGTTCAGTTCAGGTGTGTCTTGTTAATTTGCTCTTCAGTTCTGTCTATGTAAACCCTGTGTTCTGTCTGGTTCTTTGTCAGTTATTAACGTTACTTGTTTTGGTTGTTCAGTTTCCGATATTGTCCCTGAGTATCTGTTTGTCAAAGTTTAAGTTTGTTTTTTGTTTAATAAAGCTGCGCACATAGATCCTGCTTCTCTAGGTGTTCTATTCTGAACATAGCCAGTGTCTCTGTGTATTTGACTTTAATTTGTTTCTTCTGTTGTTGTTTACAAAGGGTGGCACCCTAAATCTTTGTCCAGAACGAAAACAGCTCATTTCGTTTAGGCCATATACAAACAGATAAAACGCCTTCCTTTAAAAATGTAGGCCATCACATCAGCACAGGCTGATTTACGACTTCATTTATTGTTGTTTGGTGTAGGGTGGGTGCTATCTGTGAAAGTAATGGCTGAACTGTGGGTGAGGATCTAATAGATTTGGTATTATTTCAGAGCCACTGAGGCAGTCAATCTTTCCACAAAGACAAAATGATGTCTTGGAAAATGAACAGTACTTCTATGTAAGAAAAACTGCTAAGGTTTCTTTGCAAATACTGCAGCTAAGGTGGCCTTTTTAAAGCTGTTTGACTACTAATGCCGAGTTCAGACTGCACGATTTTAGCCCCGATTTTGGCTCGCCGACAGGTTTTGAGAAATCGCCAACAAATGCCCGAAATCACAGGCAAATCGGTGCTCGTTCACGCGAGTGACAATCACGCAGTGTGAATGAGCAAAGACGCGGTCTGAGAGAATCGCCGATGAGTCGCCGACGCCCGTGAGATATTTGGCATGCTAAATATCTGGACCTGTCGGCGTTTCACAATCCTGCTGTGTGAATGTGTTCTGACTGAAAACTACATCGGCGATGACCGACAGCCAACGAGAGAGCAAGATACAGGACAGCAGGCTGTTCGGGGAGGAGTTATAGACCAGAATATCAGTATTTTAATAGAATAGGCCTATACAATTATATCAAACAGAAACAAAGCACAAACATTTGCGTGACCAGCAGCAACAGCAGGACGTCATTTGCAAAATTATTTATTTACCCCCAACTCTCTTTGCAAAACACAGTCCTTGCTCCCCTCGTCTTCCCAACCATTTCCTGCATAAACTGTTTTTTTTTCATTTTCGCTAATCAGTGCACAGACAATTTGGATCGCAATCTTCTTGTAGGCTATCATTTTTAATTACAAATTCAGTGTCGCGCGAGAACTCCGGTCTCACGCACGCGTGATCTTCCGTTATTTCCTTATCACTTCTCACGTTTGTTTGGTTGTGAAATGTAGTTTGCGGACCAGGCAGAAGTTTACGGCGATTCTTTCTTTTGTAAAGTCATGCAGTGTGAAACCTCCAGTCGCCGATCCATCGTGCAGTGTGAACACAGCAGGAACTGAATGTTACCCCAGATAGTCATGCAATGTGAAAACAACAGTGACCCGATTATTTTGAAAATCGTGCAGTCTGAACTCGGCATTAGGGTAACTAAACCCCTGGTCAGAGCCTGACTCCACCCACTGGCAATATTTGAAAAATGCTGAAGAAGTGGGCGGAGCCCAGCGGAGATAGAGGGGATGAACGGATACTCTATCCTGATCGTTTTCAATACTCGCAATTCCAACTCCTGACTCGCTACAGTGGTTTTGACGAAACAAGATGGCTTTTATACTGCCATGGACGTGGTAGCTCGTACCAAGGGCGTGGGAAGCTGAAACCTGCTTACCTCAGCTCTCACCGCTACCGTCACGAACTACCGCAAACATCCAATAGGAAAATTCAACTGCAGTAGCCACCGTTCAACCTGAAGAGGGCAGCACTCAGACGTTTTTACACCATATATTGTAGAATTAAAACACCTTATACCCAAATTTCAAAAAAGTTACTCGAATCAATGAACAGCATTAATAAAGCCCCAGTCTTACAGATCATTAACTAAAAAAAATTGGTTTAGTGTTTAGTTACCCTTTAATGGCATCAGAAATTTGAGTACATTTCTTTTTTGTGTGTAGCACTTTTCACAATACACATAGTACATATTGCTTTACATTTATCACTGGGTAATAATATAGTTTACATTTTGTGATGATACAAACAATCAAGCAGTTGAGATTTGCTATATTTTATCGCCATACATAAGTATACAAAATGTAGGCCTATGTGAATAAAGTTTGATGTACATTTCCAACTTTATATAGAGAGCTTTGCGATAAAATAGTTTACATTGTGCAACGGTATAAATCAAGCAGTTGAGATTTGCTACTCTAAATCTCACTTAATGTGAGAATATCCAACTTTTTCTGCATACATACAGTATAGTCTCAATCTGTAGTGTTTCTGTTTAGTTTTTCAAGGACTCTTAATTAGTTTATGGGCAATTCCTGTGTTTCTATTCTCTACGTTTGTCGCCATGGGTATTCATTGAATTACTGATTATCTTATCACACACCATTCCCTATTTGTTCGTTAGTTCTCTGTGTACATAACACCCTCAGTTTCTCTTTTGTTTTGTTTAATATATAGCTGTGCTATAATACATTTTGCAAAGATATAATCATGGCTAAGATTTACTACACTATATAATACATATATCCCTGGAGATGGGTGTATTGTATGTTTGTGGATACAGTTGGATATACTGCTAAGTTGGAGATATTAATTCATTATTGAGACATATTGAGAATTACAAAACCTTAATAACAATTTGGTGTAGTAAAAAGCCTAAACCGTACTATTTGGTGATGTGTATCACTGTCATGGTTAGATCATGCATATAAATGACAAGGTTAAAATTCATGACCCAAAGCAAGAGTATTTTTGTTATACTGGTTGAAACTCTCTTCACATCCTTTACAGACACTTCGAGAACCAGAATGAACTGTTGTGTGCGTGTGTGTGTGTGTATTAATATATTATTTAAGCAAATGTAACAACACAAAGTAAGGAGCTTCCAGAAGGAATGATTTAGGGGTCTAAATGTGATTTCTCAAGACACCTATTTCAGTGATATCTGTCAAGGGGTAATTTTATGCATGCTATTTCTTATGTGTCACTCTTGTATTTCCACAGGGTGTTCAAGAAGGCAAGTCCGAATGGAAAGGTAATATTACGTTCATTTTGTCCCTCCTTCATGCCCACTGTTGTTTAGAATCTGATACTTCAAAGCTTTTCTGTCAGTGTCTACAGCATAGCCGATATGAAATGGTTATGTCTGAACAACCACAAATATTGAGCAACAAAGTATCTCTTGTTCCAAAATTTGATTTGATTCTTGTGATGGTGAGCCAGACTGATGGGTACCAGCTCACAATGGCTGTGCGGTTAGCATTTAGCCTAGCCTGGAGTCTATATCATTAGCAGGGAGACCTGTGGTGCGCCACAACAGTCCTTGAGCAGGAAGCGGGCGTGGGGCGAATATGAAAGAGGGGCATGTGACTCAGTATCCAGCCTTCTGCAAAGCTGGGAAAGGCTTTTCTAAGGATCGGCACAACACAACTATATGTAAACATATATTTTCGAATTGGTCTTGATCAAAATGCACCTTATGAACAAATTAGTGCTCATAACTTAATAAAAGCATTTTATTTTGATAAGCTTAATGAAAGATAAATATAGAACTGTGCATACACAATGGTGCAAATTGGCATTTTAGCTCAGTTCAAATTGTTCTGCGTTTGCTGATTTTAATGATATGATTGTCTTTTCAGCTAACTGTGTACCTTGGTAAGAGGGATTTCGTTGACCATGTGGACCTTGTGGATCCTGTCGGTAGGCAATACGAATCGCAATCTTAAATTTTTGTTTAACTTTATGCTAGTAAACATGTTACATTGTAATTTCTTTGTAATTAATATGTCATAAATGAGTATGTGTACTTAATTTGTAATTACTTATAAACTGTTCCCTTCCAACTTATCCTAATTATACCACCAAACCTGTCCCTAACATTACCCGTATCTGACCTCAATAGCAGTAAAAGACATGAACACAATAAGTACACTATACCTTAAACCTTTATGTACATAGTTAAAGACATTTTATATCAAGTGTGACCTTATAATAGTGCATTATCGGCTAAATTATTCATCAAAGAAAACACGATTTTACCATTTCATTTTTTTAAATAGTTGATGAATTGAATTTAAAAATTAAAGTAATAAAGAACAATAATTTCATAGCTAAGCTGTTATGCAGCTGGCATTTTACCCCTAAAATATCTTTTTCCTATTGCAGATGGTGTGGTTTTAATTGATCCAGAGTACTTGAAAGAAAGAAAAGGTGAGGAGCCTTTTTTCCCCATTTTTTAAGAGCCATGGTATAGCAATATGTTATTTATGTGGTCTCATAAAAAAAAAGCAATGGGTTTATATCACAGTTGTTCCTCCTAAACAAGATTCAAGTGCCTCTATTATGCTTTTTTTCGGATGTTATACATCATGTAGTGTGTTAAAAGCTGTTTGTGAGTGTAAAAGGTCTGCAAAATTTTAACGATCAAAGTGCAGGATAAATGGAGTTTCTCCCCAAAGAAAGAATCGATTCTGAACTGACTGGAATTAATCGTTATTAATTCCAGTCTGTCTTACTGCTCGAACGTATGTGGGTTTGTAACAAATCTGCATAATGCCAGCCTATGGTCTTCAATGGCTGCCTGCAAAACATAGTCTACTTTGACCCTTACACACTGTAGTTGTCGCTGAGTCTGGAAGAGTTTGATCTGTGTTGTCGACATTTCGAAAAGACTATGTTCTCTGCACTGTCAAAGCAAATCCACTTTACATGCACTTCCAAAGGATGAGGAATCTTGCTCGAATTGATACGGTAAAACCGACACAATCACTACCATTCGTATCACTCATGTGCCGAGGAAGGGCCATCTGACCAATCAGAAAGGAGTAATTTAGAGAGGCTGAATCCTTTATCCTTTCAGACACTGTGAGATAAGAGGTGATGCTACAATGTAGATTATGACAAGTGTTTTTTGACCATGGATGCATGAAAACCTATTGTAGGAGACCTCCAAAAAAGGAAGGAACCTTATAAAATAGCATAATGGGGGCGCTTTAAACGAAGAACAGATCATTTGCAGAAGTTCCCTGATGCACAGATGTTTCTCCTAAGAAGAAGACCCTGTTAATCGCACATTCAGAAGAGGTTTCAGTGTTATAAACCATACTCAGATTTTAAAGATACCAAAGTCTGGAATCATCATAAATCCGAGATCTCAATATAAACTCAAACATCACTCATTCATTTTATAGCTTTGTACACTTAGTCTATGTCAATAATTGTTCCATTTGTTGCTGGTTTTCTTTTATTAGGAACTGGGAGAACAAAGTTGACTGTAAATCCATTAACTATACAGTTAATGTTACTCTGTTTTTTTTTTTCAATTCTCCCACAGTTTTTGTGACACTGACGTGTGCTTTCCGCTATGGACGGGAGGACTTGGACGTTCTTGGCTTGACGTTTCGCAAAGACCTCTTTGTGGCCAACATCCAGGCATTTCCTCCCGTGCCTGAAGAGAAAAAGGGCTTGACACGTCTACAAGAGCGATTGATAAAGAAACTCGGAGAACATGCTTACCCCTTCACCTTCGAGGTGAAACTTCTTTTTGATTTCCCTAATATAATGGCAACTACTGTATGTTATGCTGTGCAGAGATTATTGGATTCACTGTTGATTAAATTAGGTCCCTTCATCTCCAATCTCAAGTTTAAATGTCAAACCTTTACTCACAGATTACTCCGAATTTACCCTGTTCTGTCACGTTACAACCAGGGCCAGAAGATACAGGAAAGGTACATTTTCCCGCAAATAATGTTTTATAGATATTCAGGGCTATTAAAGGGTAAAAAGGGCTATTCAGAATTCTGCACTCTCCAGAGTAACATTTTCTTTCTTCTTGTCTGCAAAGGCCTGCGGGGTTGACTTTGAAGTCAAAGCTTTTTGTGCAGAAAATGTTGAAGAAAAAATCCACAAAAGGTATAACCTTTCACAATGGCACCCAACTGCATAACAGACACACATTTGTGCAACATTGTTAATTGTGTTTTTGGAAAACATGTACTACAGTTTTTATCAAGGTGACTATCACTGTGCTGAAGAGAGCACAGCTGTTACTTTTTAAATAAAGCGAGATATACTCTTAATGGTCTTCGGCCAATCGTCAACCGAACCACAGGCTCTACTCTTCAGCAAAATGGGAACCCCAAAAACTCACACATACCAGAAAACCTTTTAAATTCCAAAATAATAGAACATGAAACACTAACAGATCTCCCCCATATATTAATATTGAGCAAAACACAATTAAATAACACTTCATTTTAACGTTTACTCTCGTTTAACAGTCAGAAGCAAAGCATGCTGGGAACTTGTAATCTGTTGTGTACATTCACATTTATGTATGTGCAATATATGTACACAATAAAGGATAAAACTTTATGAATATTACATGTAATGCTATTTTTGTCTTCAATTCTCAATATAGTATCAATATAGCCACATGGTCAATGCATATATTGCAGTATATTGAAAAATATAATCACTATTTTCCCATGTATAATGTAATATATTGCATTATTTTTTGCAGTATATTTCCATTTTTGTTCCATAAGTGTTTTACTCTTGCTCACACTCATAAATAGTCTCACACCATTTGTGCCATGTATATAAATGATACTTTAAAAAGGCGATTTGTTGAAGAAAGATTATGGTCTAAATGATCCGGAAAAATGTCTGAAAAAAAAAAAAGACCAGAACATCGCAGAGATTTATTACATAGATTGCAACATATATTTTTGTTGAAGTCAATAAATGTCACAAATTATGATATGGTTCTCCTATTACTGGCCTTTCCACAGGAATTCAGTGCGTCTCGTCATCAGAAAAGTGCAGTATGCTCCAGAGAAGCCGGGCCCGCAGCCAATGGCTGAAACCACAAGGCAGTTTCTCATGTCAGACAAACCATTACACCTGGAGGCCTCACTTGACAAAGAGGTGGGTTTGTGTAGTTATTCAGCTGCTCTGAATAAGATGAAATAGCTGACGATTGATTGAGGAAAGGCAACAGCAGTAGGATTCTGCTATACTGATCTACATCTACATCTAGTGATGGAAAAAGGGCATTACAACTGAAATGCTGTAGGTGCAATGTTATGTATAGTATAGTATCATAATAATAATAATAATAGAAATTAAGCTTTTATTTTCTCTTTAAATTATTTTGATATGACCCTATGCTAAACTTAGAAATTCATGCAGATATTATTGAAGCTTTAACTAAAATATAACTATAAATCAAATCCAAAAAGACATTTGGCATGGATGTGTATTGTTACAATCAGTACTGCGTTCACAGAAATATCTGGCATATTATGAAAATTCATTCGATTTATTAATATTTTAGACCTGGGGTCTCAGCATGTCATTACAGACTTGACATATTATTAAATCCTATGCCTGCTTATTGTAAAATAAAATAAAAAAAAAAGTATCTAAAAAAGGTTTGGAGTCTTTCCTTGAAGAGAATAGAACAGAAAGAGAATCACATATATTTAGGCTTAAATTTAATATTTATATACTTGAATTGTTTATGAAATGTCCATCCATTTGGATCACACAATTTTAACATAGACAAAGTAATAAACGTAATGTGATGCAAATGAGTGTAGATAATAATTTAATTCCATATCAGACTATACAATTTTTTTTTCAGAAACACAAACTGAGGCAGAGTACAGATTTTTTTTTGGACCTATGTTGCTGTTTTGTTGTTTGCATGATGCTGTATGTGCATAATGTCTTTCAGATTTACTATCATGGTGAACCAATTAGTGTCAACGTCCATGTCACAAACAACACAAACAAGACAGTAAAAAAAATGAAGATTTCAGGTCATTCAGTTATTTATATAGATGGACTTTGTATTTACATCAGTATGTAGTTAAGAAACTCTTGGCAATAACATTTATTTCTATTATAAAACGTTGCAGTGCGTCAATATGCTGATATTTGCCTCTTCAACACTGCCCAGTACAAGTGTCCAGTGGCGACAGAGGAATCAGAGTATGTACACTGCAAACTAAACCATACGCTTAATCCGGATGAGAACACACCTTGACATCTGTCTCATTGCTCTCTGCTTTGTGCCGTGTTCTAGTGATTTTGTGGCTCCCAGTGCCACATTTTGCAAAGTATATACTCTCACCCCATTCCTGGCGAATAACCGAGAGAAACGCGGCTTGGCTCTGGATGGCAAACTCAAACATGAAGACACAAATTTAGCATCGAGTACATTGTAAGTATAATCTCTGATTCTTCCATTTGAAAGTGTGTTGTGTTTCTTGTCATGTTTATGAATTCACCTTTCCATGGCATTGTTCTCTTGAAAGGTTAAGAGAGGGAGCCAATAAAGAAATTCTGGGCATCATTGTTTCATATAAGGTGAAAGTGAAGCTGGTGGTGTCCCGCGGAGGGTAAGTTTGCATTTTGCTCATCTTGTGTGGCATGTGATGGTGGAATAAAGTTCAAACTTTACAATTCGGTTAACAAAAATGTACATAGCACTTGCCAGGAATTTGTGCTAGATGTGAAACCGCAAACTGGTTGAGGAAGGGGTGTGCTATCACTTTTCTAAGCAATTGAACACTAGGACACCAGGGTTACACCCCTAGGAGAAGTGCCATGGGATTTTTAATAACCACAGAGATTCAGGACCTCGGTTTAACATCTCATCCAAAGGACGGGTTGATTTTTATGTGGTAGACCATAAATCTGGGTGGTGGGTGGTAGATCCCATAGACGCACATTGGACCAGAGTCACAGAATATCAGAGAGACTTGAAGATGGGCTCTTTTGACATGGGCAAGTAAACAACCACATAGCAATCACTCGAAAAATGCTTGCAACTGCACAGCAAAAAACACCCACAACACCCTAGCTGCATCTGAAATCGCATACTCCCCTACTATATAGTAGGTGAAAAACAGTATGTGACAAAAGAAGTATGTCCGAATTCGCAGTACTCATAAAAAAGTACTCAGATCAGATGACCTCGTACTTCCGGCGAGATTCTGAAGTTTACGATGGGACTCTTTACTATCCCATGAGGCCACGGGAGAGGATTTGTAAATGGCAGTGATGCGACTAAAAATGATGCTGGTAGATCACATGATAATGAAAACATGGCGGATGTAGTTTGTCCAGATTACATTCTTACTACACATATTCCATACTACATAGAACATACTTTTTAGCAGCCATGAAGTAATTACTTATTCAAACTAAGTACCTACTCAAGAGACTATTCGATTTTCGGACGCAGCCTCTGTCAATGTAACTGTGAGTTTAGCAGAGAGGAGGACCATTCAAAAAACCTTTGGAAAGTGTAAAAATCTTGTTACATTATTAGTCAAATTGCTTGGAAATGGCTTTTTATTTTAGCCCCAGAGTGCATGACCCTAAAACTTGCACTAATGCATTAAGGGGCTCAAGATGACCCATACTGGTTCAGTGGATTTTTAAAAAAGAAAATCTATTTATTTTTTATATATTATATACATATACAATAAAAAATGAAATCAAAATTGTACTTCACTATAACATTGTATATTTATTAACATATACAGTTTATATACAGTATATACACAGTATATATATATATATTTATATATTAAGGGTTAGTGATACAAAAACAAAAAAAATATTTTCCTGAACCCATGACCAACAAATATGTAAATGAGGCTCAAAACATGACTTAGAAGGAATACATAGAATATCAAATAATTTAATAACGGAAAAACATACCAAAAAAATCACACGCTAACCGATCAATTTGACACTCTTTATGCATTCTAGGGTTACATTAAAATGACTTTGCCGAGTCGATATGACACACCAAATCAATAATGCCTTAATTATTGTAATACAGTGAGATCATGTTTAATTTTTTTTTTTTTTCAGACTGCTGGGAGATCTTGCCTCAAGGTACTGTGCTATTTTTGTTCATTCCTTTAGAAATTCTTCTGTTTCTGTGTAATGTGTGTAAATGTTTGACACCTTCACTTTGAAACCGGATTCAAGCTGTTCCATTACTAAGACTGCATGACCGTATACTGAACAGTGTGTCTTACACAGCCCATTGTGCATACTATAGATTCCTATAAGTAGCCAAGCTTTTGGCCAGAAACACAGACAGGCTCAGACACTTGATAAGATGCCATCAATTACTGGACCATTTGTGCTGATGCTTTTAGGCCAGTGGTTCCAGCACTCTGTTAGCACCGCATGAGTGGTGGGATTGAGGTTTGGGAGCAGCGTTGGCTGGCGTTTATTTGGTTATCATGTCTACTGGATGCATGATTTGTGTTTCCCTCTCCAGTGATGTTGCAGTCGAGCTCCCCTTTACATTAATGCATCCCAAACCATTGGAGGAATCATTCTACAGAGATGGTATTTGCCAGACTGCCTTTTTATCTGCTTTCATTTGTTGAACTAGTTATGATTTATTTTAGCATGTTCTGGCACCTAAAACACATACTTTCACTTGTACAGGAAATATAAATATATTTTTATGAGTAACATAAAAATATAATTAAAATGTAAATATTTATTAAAAAAATCAAATACTTAAATATAAGACATTTAAAGTTCATGTCCTAACATGTCAGTACTGAATTTCAGCTTTTCAGTCAATTCCAGTCAAAAGTTCAATATTTTTTATTTATCCGAACAATTATTGTTTTTTTTGTTGTTTGGTTGAAAAGGTGCCAGCGGGGGGAAATTTAGTTACTCTAAAAATAATGACTGTTCTGTGTCATCTCTGTGTGCGGAGACCTTTATAAATGGCGTATACAGAGTTTTTTTAAGTGAGAAATTAAGTATATTACCTACAGAGTTCTAATCAATATTAATTTCTGTAACCTTTCTGTTCTAGCCCCAGAAAACGATGCCCCCATTGACACAAATCTCATTGAATTTGACACAAAGTAAGTGAAAGTCTTATTGTTTAATTGGATTTTAAACTACTAAAATGCTTTGAGCTTTATAGTCATAAATAGTTACACATATGTCTTAGGATGGTGGTTTAATTTAATGTATTCATTTATTTTGTTTAATCAAAAATTCTGTCAGTCATATACACTACCGGTCAAAAATTTGGAAAATTAATTAAGATTTGTCATGTTTTTGTAAGAAACGCTCCGCCACGTCCAGGCCAAGGGTGTTTGAAGGGCCCGTTGGTGTTTTAAGCCCCCACCGGATCCTTCAAGGCAGCGCTGCATGGAAGGCGCTCCCCGCCCCCTGCTGCGTTTCAGCCAATCGCTGCAAAATCTACAATTGCCAATCTGTTTACAGTTAGCTAGATAGCTGAGCGTGTTCGGCCGGCGGCAAAGAAAATCCCTAGCAGCTAGTGTTGGCTATATTTCAAAGCATAGTAATTTTTTTTAATAATAAAACATTTCATTATGAATTCAGATCTTAGAATATTGCTCTATGCAACTTACCGTACCAAGTTGAGTGGAGTCAAGATCGATCACTCGTTGGTTCTCAAAGTTGAATGCGAGCACCATTGTTGCGATTGGCTGAAACGTGGCAGGGGGCGAGGAGCGCCTTCCATGCAGCGCTGCCTTGAAGGATCCGTTGGGGTCTTAAAAAACCAACGAGCGTTTGGCGGACTCAACAGGTTTTTCACACTGGAGTTAAAAGGGTGCACAGTAGGGTGCAGAAAGCCGACAGAGCCGGGCCTCTCAGTGCTTCTACCCATTTAGGGTGGGAACACGGGAGCAGACCGGTGTTCTGACGATTTGTGCTGCCTTGTCGAAAAATGCTACCGTAGCGCGAATCGATCACAGAATGTCGATTAATATTAAATGAAATACAATTATAACACAATTCTAAGTTATGAGTAGCTACTGTATACTGTAAACTACTGTTTTTATTTTTAAAACGGTGTGAAAAGTAAAAATTATCATCAAATATTCATCTTTGACTTGTTAAAGCACACCTTTCCTTAGTAACTGAAACTTTCAGTTATTCTTGTTCAGCTGACTGACCGTACAAATATTCATATGGTAGTTGGCATTTTTAAAAGGGAAATTACTTTATAACACATGAAAATTTACCTTTTGTTAAAAAAAACTGAGTCTGCACATGCGCATAACCAGTAAGTAGCAAATCTCGATGGGTAGCATGAATCGTCAGAACACCGGCTCTACACATAGGCTATAATATCTAGCGAACGTGTTAGGTGTCGCCCAGCCCGCAGCTCTACAGATATCGGTTTTCGAGGAGCCACGTGCCAGCGCCCAGGAGGATGCAACACCTCTCGTGGAGTGAGCATGCAACCTGAGCGGGCAGGCCACGCCTTGTGCTTGGTAAGCCAAGGCGATGGCATCCACTATCCAGTGGGCCATCCTCTGCTTGGAGAGTGGTTTGGGTTCTGTTTGGGAGTGGTAGGAACCTTGGGCACATAGCCAGGCCGGGGGCTCGGGGTCCTCTTTAGGTGAGAAGAACACCACTCGACGAACAGGTTCCACTTCAAGGCGTACGCACGTCTCGTAGACGGCGCCCGCGCTGAAGTGATGCTGTTAAATACCTCTGGGTGTAAGTCACCTAGAACCTCCGCTGGACGGTCTGGATGCGGGTGCCCCGTCTCTGAGTCAGAATGTCCTTCCTCAGAGGAATGGGCCAGGGAGGGACTGTCACGAGGAGCATGAGTTCTGGGAACCAGGTCCGGATGGGCCAATAGGGAGCCACCAGAAGGACCTGCTCCTCGTCCTCCCTGACTTTGCACAGGGTCTGTGCAAGTAGGCTCACTGGGGGAAATGAATATTTGCGAGGGGCCCCGGGGTCAGCTGTGTGCCAGTCCATGCCGAGTGTTCCCTCGGTCAGGGAGTAAAACAGCTGGCAGTGGGAGGTATCTGAGGAGGTAAACAGGTCTACCTGAACATCCCCGAACTCTCTCCAGATCAGCTGAACCGCCTGGGGGTGGAGTCGCCATTCTCCCGGGAGCACAGCTCGTGATGCAGGTCACCGCCGCGGCAGGATATGTTTAATCACCTCAATCTGCTTTTGTACAGCTGAGAACTGCTGGGCGAAGTTCTCGACCACGTTGCTGAAGAGGCCGGTCTGAGACACGGGGGAGTTAAGGAACCTGACTTTGTCGGCCTCCCGTAGGCCTGTTGGCTGACGATTAATTGCCTAAAAAATAATTGCGGTTATGCCGATTAATTGCCAGTTTTAGGGATTTGACGATAATGCCAATTACTTGGCTGTTTTAGGGCGTTGTCATACATTTTTGGTGTGCTTCATTCATTAAATAATTGTGATCAATTTAAGGCTTTGTAAGTTATCATTTTGCAGTGTAAGATCACAGTTAACACCTTTAAATATTAAATAAATATATTCAATAGCTGTGACATTTTTTTTATTAAACTTAGTGAGTGTATACAGGTCCTTCTCAAAAAATTAGCATATTGTGATAAAGTTCATTATTTTCCATAATGTAATGATAAAAATTAAACTTTCATATATTTTAGATTCATTGCACACCAACTGAAATATTTCAGTTCTTTTATTGTTTTAATACTGATGATTTTAGCATACAGCTCATGAAAACCCCAAATTCCTGTCTCAAAAAATTAGCATATTTCATCCGACCAATAAAAGAAGTGTTTTTAATACAAAAAAAAAAGTCAACCTTCAAATAATTATGTTCAGTTATGCACTCAATAGTCAATACTTGGTCGGGAATCCTTTTGCAGAAATGACTGCTTCAATGCGGCGTGGCATGGACGCAATCAGCCTGTGGCACTGCTGAGGTGTTATGGAGGCCCAGGATGCTTCGATAGTGGCCTTAAGCTCATCCAGAGTGTTGGGTCTTGCGCCTCTCAACTTTCTCTTCACAATATCCCACAGATTCTCTATGGGGTTCAGGTCAGGAGAGTTGGCAGGCCAATTGAGCACAGTAATACCATGGTCAGTAAACCATTTACCAGTGGTTTTGGCACTGTGAGCAGGTGCCAGGTCGTGCTGAAAAATGAAATCTTCATCTCCATAAAGCTTTTCAGCAGATGGAAGCATGAAGTGCTCCAAAATCTCCTGATAGCTAGCTGCATTGACCCTGCCCTTGATAAAACACAGTGCACCAACACCAGCAGCTGACATGGCACCCCAGACCATCACTGACTGTGGGTACTTGACACTGGACTTCAGGCATTTTGGCATTTCCTTCTCCCCAGTCTTCCTCCAGACTCTGGCACCTTGATTTCCGAATGACATGCAAAACTGAGCAACAGTCCAGTGCTGCTTCTCTGCAGCCCAGGTCAGGCGCTTCTGCCGCTGTTTCTGGTTCAAAAGTGGCTTGACCTGGGGAATGCGGCACCTGTAGCCCATTTCCTGTACACGCCTGTGCACGGTGGCTCTGGATGTTTCTACTCAAGACTCAGTCCACTGTTTCCGCAGGTCCCCCAAGGTCTGGAATCGGTCTTTCTCCACAATCTTCCTCAGGGTCCGGTCACCTCTTCTCGTTGTGCAGCATTTTTTGCCACACTTTTTCCTTCCCACAGACTTCCCACTGAGGTGCCTTGATACAGCACTCTGGGAACAGCCTATTTGTTCAGAAATATCTTTCTGTCTTACCCTCTTGCTTGAGGGTGTCAATGATGGCCTTCTGGACAGCAGTCAGGTCGGCAGTCTTACCCATGATTGCGGTTTTGAGTAATGAAACAGGCTGGGAGTTTTTAAAAGCCTCAGGAATCTTTTGCAGGTGTTTAGAGTTAATTAGTTGATTCAGATGATTAGGTTAATAGCTCGTTTAGAGACCCTTTTCATGATATGCTAATTTTTTGAGACAGGAATTTTGGGTTTTCATGAGCTGTATGCCAAAATCATCAGTATTAAAACAATAAAAGACCTGAAATATTTCAGTTGGTGTGCAATGAATCTAAAATATATGAAAGTTTAATTTTTATCATTACATTATGGAAAATAATGAACTTTATCACAATATGCTAATTTTTTGAGAAGGACCTGTAAATCAGCAGCAAAAAGTAATTCTTGAAAAAATCTGCACAGTAATTTTATAAAAATCTAAACATGTTAAGAAAAACAGATGACACATTACTTTTAGTACTCTTATAAAATTCATTCATGTATTCATACATTTAACAATTTTATATTTATATATGGAAGTAAAAAAAAAAAACCCTGTCCCTGTCTGTTTGTTACTTGTTGTCTGTTAAAGTGTATCCTCTATGTGCTGCCTTCTTGGTCAGGGCTCACTTGTAAAAGAGATTGCAATCTCAATGTGATTTTTCCCCGCTGGTAAAATAAAGGTAAAATAAAATAAAAATATAAAAAGTAAAGAATTATAATGCGTGCTAAATTTTGAACAGAGAATGATTGACAGCCGCAGAGGAGGGGAGACAAACTTTTATTTAACAATGTAAATAATATATATACTACACACAAATAATATAAAATTAAAAGATGCTTTTTTTAAATGTTAAAAAAATTGTGCAGCTTTTTAATGGGGCAACAAGATATAATAGATACGACAGAACAAGATAGGCTTTTAATAATCTTTCAGTGCGCAAAACCATGATAATATGACATGCATGAAGTATGATAATACACTTCAAAACAAAGTGGCACAAAGCACGTATGGCGTATTTGCATTGTGGGTGCAGAATGATGTGGTTAAAGCAACATGGAGTCACAGACAGTGCACAGCGCTGCACAAGTGCGCATTTAAAAGTTCACGACACAAAGCAAAGAAATGTCAAGCGCATAAATCCTAGTGTCTATCTGTCCAACAGTTTATTGATCATTTGTTTCCTCACAATTTTAAATTCCAGTTATTGTGCGTTTGATGCCAATTCATAGTCCATGTGCTGTGTGAACAGACACAATAGCGAGTCGTTTAGAAACAGCAATAAACTCCAACTAAAGTCATTTTATGCAAATCCACAGCGCTTTATCTACAGATCAAGCATTATAATGTGAATATATCATATTGTTTACTTTATACTTTATTGTCATTGTACACAAGGTACAACGAAATTGCGGAGCCTCTGCATAAGGTGCATGGTACATAAAAAAGACGAATAGATAAAAAAAAAAATACATTAGATAAGTAAGTACAAATACATAAAATACAATATTTGGATTATACAATATTGGATAGAGTTTTAACGTGCATCCTGTCGTAACCGGACTAGTCGTGTGCTAAATGCTGAACAGAGAATGATTGACAGCCGCAGAGGAGGGAAGACGAGTTTCCGTGAACTTTAATTTAACAATGTAAATATACTTCTGTCGCTCACATTAAGCATTGGAATGGCTTCAGATGACTTTGAATATGTTGCAGGAAAACTTAATTAGTGCTTGTCTATTTCTTTTGGTCCATGACTCCCCCTTGTGCCGTAGGCCTATAAAAGAGCGCAATAATCGCGGTTGTCTGAAACAATCGCGGTTAGATCTAATAATCGTGATCAGACGGTTATTTAATTATCGCGACAGGCCTAGTCTCTCTCATGTCAGCCAGACACAGCCAGAGATGGCAATTCATGGATCACCATAGTGGACATCGCACGACCCACCGACCGTGCGGTCACCTTTGTCGCACCAAGCGCGAGGTCCGTCGCGGCACGAAGTTCTTGGAGAACTTGGGGATCATGACCACCCTCGTTCAGGTCCTTCAGTGCCTTAGCCTGATGGACCTGCAACAACGCCATGGCGTATAAGGCAGAGGCGGCTTCCCCACAGGCTTCCCCACCTTGCCAGTTAAGTCCGACGAGTACTTACAGGCCCGGGAAGGGAGACTCCACTGGTGGGATGCGCGTGTAACCCTTAGCCGCCTGAGGGAGGAGGAGCCACCGGGATGGTTTCTGGCAGTAAAAGGTGCCGTCCACGCCCCAATGAGCTCCTCATGCACCTCCGGGAAGAAAGGCACCGGGGTGGGTTGCTGAGAACCAGTGCGCACCACCCTGAGATATCAATCGTCCAGCCTCGAGGGCTGGGGACACGGTGGAGGGTTCCACACGAGCCTGATTCTTTTGGCGGCCCGGGAAAGCATGGCCATCATCTACGGGTACGAATCGTCATCCGCAGAGAAGTCTGACCCACCCTCCGATGCAGCGATTGACATCTGTTCATCATGGGGAGCACCGAAGGAAACGACTGGTACACACCTCGTCGATGGTCCAGCACGTTCCGTTGGCAGCTCTACTGGCTCTACTACGTGGGAGGGGTGAGGGTTCCTAGGGGGTTGGTTCCCCGAAGGAAGTGCGCTCACCGTGATCCTCAGGTCACCTGCACCACCGCCTGAAGTAACCCTCAGAGGAAGGTTAGATCAAAGGCGGAGGCGCAGGGACTCTGCCCCTTTGCAGGAACGAGAGTCTCGACCACAGCTCCGAGATGATCATCTTCCCACAATGGGTACATGACTCATCCACGAACGCTGCCTCAGTGTGTTCAATGCCCAAACATCCGATACAGTGCTCGTGGCCAACCTGGGATCCCAGGTAACGACCGCATCCAGAAACACACAGGTAGAGTGACATTTTTTAAAAGAAATGATCTGCCCGTGTAAGCTCTTTTAGGGAACTGCTCTTTTGGTGCTGAAGCACACAGGGAAACGGTCGCAGCGAACACGGACATGAATGTGCACCTGTCGTGCGCGGCCTCTCTCACTGGCGACCTCACCAGCCGTAAGAACGGCCTTTCAGCGCTCTCACTGCGCACCTTACCAGCTGTGAAAACAGCCCTTTTGTTTTTGCTCAGTTTTTTTACAGGCAAGAAAAGATAGAGAGAAAATCAACCCCACTGCCGCGCTGTATCGCCCGCACCAGCCACGTGAGATCATCCTGAAAACTTGTTCATACTCTGTTTAGATATCAGCATCGAAGTGCTCGACTCTGAAGCAAAAAGCTGAAGTGCAATCGCACCTGCTACTCATTATATACCCGTGCTGCGTGGCAGAGCAGCTGTTGCAAATGATTGCACGCCAATGTGCATTTGCTCGTTTAGTTTCACTCGAAGTAGATTGGCCTCTCTAGCGAGATTCCTATTTGTCGGTCACTACGTTCGTCGAGAGTGACCGACTGATAGGGAACCCTTTTTAATAAATCCTCTGCACAGGGGAGAGTTTGCTCTTTTGTTTTCGCTCCTCTTGCTTTTGCCGCCTGCTGCCTGTTTGGCTCATGTACATTCGCCAGGTTCAGCCTCAGGTGTCGCTCCAGGGAGCGTGCAGTGACTTTCGTTGCCCGTAGGCCGAGGTCCATCGCTGTACGCAGTTCCTGCATAACCCCTGTGTCAGAACTCCCCTTATGAAATTCCTTGAGCGCTTTGGCCTGGTAGACCTGCAGGAGCGCCATGGCATGCAGGGCAGAGGCAGCTTCTCCGCAGGCTAAGTAAGCCTTACCTGTGAGAGCGGATGAGAACTTACACGCACAGGGTAGCCGTCTTGGGACACAATTGCATTCCACGTACCCTTTAGCCACTCCGCCATCGAGGTTAGTGAGGGAGGAAAAGGCACCAGACCGGTTTTGGGTAGAAAAAGGTGCCGTCCATGATCTAGTGACCTCATCATGCACTTCTGGAAAGAAAGGCACTGGGGCGGGGCGGGGCGCTGAGAACCAGCACGGGCCAACCAGAGATACCAATCTTCCATTAGCTCACCCTCCGATCAGAGTATGTGAGCGGAGTGGAGCGGCAACAATGTTCCCTCCGCGCTCCAAGCATTTAATAATCACTCCGCTCCAGATCCGCTCCGGGTTCACCATTTACCGCTCCCGCTCCACTCCTCGCTCACTGATATCAGAAATACCGCTCCGTCTTTGCTCCCCGAGGAAATTGCGAATAACTATTTAAGTATGCTTTGAAATCTCACAAAATTTCTCCTCATCGTAATAGCCTATATAGGCTTACTATTATTTGTTTTTTTTAAACATCATTAGGAGAATAGTTTCAATGTGGTTTATTGGATAGTGTGCGAACTTATGACTTATTACATTATCAGCATTATAAGTTAAATATCATTGCTGCTTTTTGCAGAGCATATTTTGTTTGGAAAGATGAAAATAACGTTTTCATCAGTTATCTACGTACGGGTCACTACATTTCTTACAGTTTTCTGCTCGTTCGAAATCAAACCGACAGCACTGTAAGATTACATTTTTTGAATGCAATGCATTGAGACGCAATCGTGAGAAAGCGATTGGGTGTGTGAATAAGTGTTACCTGTTTAAAATGTGCTTTCACCCGATCCAGCTCGATCTCATGAAAGTGCGTCACACATTTTATTTCTCGTACCATTTATACGCCAAAAACCTGTTTTTGCTTGCATAGCCTAAGCCTAGGATACGCAGTTTTCGCGTGCATATGATACGCACTTTATGGCGTTCACGCACTTCACACACCTAATCATAACCAAGGCAAGGGGTTTAGTGCATTTCATTTGCACGCAAAAATTTTTTTTATGTATAAATGGCACAAAAAATAAAATATGTGCTATAGATACGCACTTTCATGAGATAGTGTTGCCCGATCATATTCAGTAGGCTTGAGAAATAACCTCCCGCAGCCACTCATGTCCATCGGCGTCATCATTCACATCCTTCTCATTTTTTTCTGATTTGAGTGATCCATCTCTGTACCATGCTAGAGTAATGTGTTTAACGTGTGAATCCTTACTAAAAATGCAGTTCTATAATGAGCCGTTGGCATGAATTGTACTCGTGATGGAGCGGTAGTGGAGCGCTCTCGGAGCGAATGAAAACCACGACGCTCCGACTTTAAAAAAAATCCGCTCCGTACTCCATTCAAAATCACACCGCTCCACTCCCCGCTCCTCTCTCTCGTCAGCACATGGTCTGAATGACATCTTGAAAAAGATGCAGGGTCAGACTGTGTTAGCTTTTTTAGGAAGTTGCTCTCTCTGGTGCCGAAGCGCACAGGGGAGATGGCCGTGGCTACACAATAGTGGATAGCGATAAAGCAGAAACAGCATTCACCATCTGGCTCCGAAGCGAAAGACAAATATGCGACCCACTTGCATTTTTAATTTAAAATAGAAATGTTACAAAAGATTTCTGTTTTTTTCAACATTGATAATAATCAGAAATGTTTGCTGAGCAGCAAATCATCATATTAGTATGATTTTTGAAGGATCATGTGACACTGAAGTAATGATCCTGAAAATTCAGCTTTGATCACAGATAAATAATATTTTCAAATATTTAAAAATGTAAATATAAATTGTAATAATGTTTAACAATATTACTGTTTTTCTGTATTTTTCGATCAAATCAATGTAGCCATGGTGAGCAGAAGAGACTTTCAAAACATTATAAAATCGTAATTATTCCTAACTTTTGACCGGTAGTGTATAATTTATTGTAATATTATTTATATATAAATATATAATTATTTTAAATATATATTCAATTTATATATTAAAAAAAAATTCTACAAAAGCATCAAGGCATCTACTAAAAGAACAAAAAAATCAGCTTCTGCCTACAAATTCTTTAGCTCTGTCATTTTTTTTTTTTTTGTCTATAAGTAACAAGAACAGTGTGTAATGCACAGGGCAAAAAGTGCTTTTAGGGAAACACAACAACTGAATTCTTCTCTGACTGTTTGTCCCTAGTGATGATGACATCATCTTCGAGGACTTTGCTCGGCAACGACTGATCGGGGCAAAAGACGACAAAGATGAAGAAGAGGAGGGTGCCGATTCGCCCAAACTGAATGACAGATAGACGCGCAGATAAGAGTTTCCTGTGTTGTGACGATACGAGAGACCCTTTCGAGATAACCTGGAAAAATGGGACACCCTTTAACACACTCACAGTGGTGACGTTGTTGTGTTCTTGTTCACATTCGTCTCTTCCATCATGCGAGGGTGTAAAATAAAAACTTAAGTGTAGAAAAATGTGACCTTGTCGTTGAAGCGATTAGAAGGTGAGGTTTTAGTTGATAGGCCACCCACTGAGTGCCTCGGATATTTGAGGGTCTTTTGGGGTTGAGGCAATGGTTTCTCATCATAGCTAAATCAAACGTCAGTGGTAGCATGCCTTTAATGTTGCTTTGTTTCATAGATTCTGCCTTTGATTAGAACAGAGGAGGAGTTTGAGGGCCGTGGCTTAGTATTAAACCATATTTAATGTATGGAATTTGATCTGTTTTAATTACTCAAAAAGGAACTGGATTTAGTATTTTTATTATAAAAAGCTGCCAAATTGAATAATCTTTATAATGTCTTGTGTCTCAACTGAGAACTTTTTTTCCACTTTTCAAAAGAACCAATGTATCAAAATCTAAAAAGTTATGGGTATGGGTAAAAGTTATGGGTATATATATATAAGATACATGACAATGCAACAACCGTTTATGACATTTTTTTCTCTTCAATCGTTTGTAAAAGTGGGTTTCTATGAAATCATTTAATTGTAAACAATGCCTATATATCTTCAAAGGGACAATATATTACTATATGATATTTTTACATAATTGAAGCTTCTCAAACAAAGCACCAATGAATAGTTGTGCTACAAACATTCCAGTTACAATATCTAGTCTGAATAAAGTATATGTATCCTTAAATCTGTTTCAAAACTATCTTCTGTGGAACAGAAAAGGAGAAATTTTGAATATACTGGTTATTTTTCCAGTGTTATCACAATTAATAGGGACTGCAGCTTTCAAGTGTCAATAAAGCTTTAAAAGCACCATAAAATAATCATTAAAATTCACCCCATATATTGTATGAGGCTTTTTCAATTAACAGTTGTGTAAAGAAAGCAAGAAGTTTGGCCAAGTTTGCGAATTAATAATTTAGTGTGATTCAGATTAAACATTACATTCATAAAAAAAAAAAAAAAAACTTGTTAAATCAGAAATCACTACTTGAACTAGCCAAGGAGATGTTGGGCAGATGCCAAGATTTTCAGTGAAAAAAAGATTTGCATTGTTAGAAGAACAAACAGATATTTAAGTGTACAGACTCACTTTTATAATTCTTTAAAGAGGATTTTGCTCCATATGGCCATATCGGAAACTTGAAAGCTCCGGTCCCTATTTTAATTTTAATCATGCAGTTATATAAATTATGACAGAATTTTTATTTTGGGGCAAACTATTCGTTTAGATCTTCTATGGACAATTTCAAACTTGTACTCATCAAGTAATTCTTCAAGACTCATCCAGTAATTCTCTGAGCTGGAGAGCCACTAAAATCAAAAGACTCTTGATTGGAAATGTAGCCATTTTTACATTGCAAAGATTATGTGCTTTCTATATGAATGAGGCCTTGACTTACTGCATGAAACATGTCAATAATTTGTATGTTTTGTGAATGAAACATTTGTAAGAAAGGAAGAAAGACAGATAGAAAGAAAGAAATTTAAATAAAAATGGATTGTTCAGTGAACTGATATATTATAATTTCCATGTGCTGGATAAACCACAATTCTAAAATAAATAAACTTGATTATTGACATAAGGCAAGAAAATTATATTGATGATAAAATGTAAGTAGAAATTACAATATATTAAATACATACTATGTTGTATATATCAAAGTCTTTGTTTCTTCTTTATATTCTATGTATACAGTATATATACTTTAATATATATATATATATATTAGGGCTGTCAAATGTTTAATCGTGATTAATCACATCCAAAATAACAGTTTTTTTTTACATAATATATGTGGGTGCACTGTGTATAATTATTTTATATATATAAATACACACACATGCTTGTATATATTTAAGAAATATTTTCATGTATATACTGTATACAGATTTATATATAATTTATATTATATATAAATATAAATATTTTATATATAAATAATATTTTTTTCTTAAATATACATGCATGTGTGTGTATTTATATATATATACAAAATAATTATACACAGTGCACCCACATATATTATGTAAAAAAAACTTTTATTTTGGATGTGATTAATAGTGATTAATCATTTGACAGCCCTAATATATATATATATATATATATATATATATATATATATTTAGACAACAGTTCTTTCTGGTTCTCGAATCTGATTGGCTGGGAGCCTTTTCCAGCCGTGCGATATTCCCCCAGTATCAGCACTCCAACCGTTTCACTGTTTGTATCACTCCACTTGCGGCGACTGTCATGGCGGTCTACCAATTCCACCATATCATTTACAAATACTACTGTTATTGTGTCACGATAATGTAGTTTTAAGAGTTTTTTAGGCGAGAATGTAGTTCTTAAACCTCACATATGTGACTCATAGTTTATCTATGAGTCTCCTATGTGAGGTTTAATAACTACATATGCCTATTTTACAACTAAAAACAAAAGTTTTTAGAGATGTGAGCTCCAGGCCGTCAGCTGCCATTCAGCTCTCATGAACCTGCAGAGAACAGTGTCATCTCGGCCAGTCCTTCGGGAATTGTATGTAGATAGTGGTTAAACATGAGATATAATTCATTTGGGGTATATTAAACGGGCAATCTTTGGTTTTACTCCCACATAGCAAATTTTATCTGGCCCAGCTCTGTTCCACAGAAGCCCTTTTCCCTCGGTCCACATACCGCAAAGAATGACGGCCCTGTAGTGGCTCGGATCCGGACTGAAGACATGGACCACACATGGGCCAACACTAGCCCAAGTCTCAGCCATTTAATAACCATTACAGGGCCTGAACTGGGCCAGAACTGGTTTTAATAGGTGCACCGATTCTCAGCTATTAATAAAGCATATAAACACCAGCTTTTAACCAGACCCTCATCCATTTAATAACACACAACTAGCCCTGCCCTGAGACAGAATAGGTTTTATTCTTGGTATCGATTATCAGCCTTAAGTAAACCAAAACAGAGCCACACCGGAGCCTTATCTAGCCCAGTCCCAAAAAAGAATGGTTATCTTTTATATATTGTATACTACTTTATATTTTTTACTGTGATGTACGGTATTATTATTCCTTACCTGAGGATGGCGCTCTCAGTCTAAAGATGTGTATGTGTTGGGTTGTAACCTATAAAAGAGAAGAATAAGAAAGTTCAGTGAAACAGCAAGTCGCATGAAACCAGTGTCTCTTCGTGAATTATTCAAACTTGCATCCACAAAACATCACATGGTGTCAGAAGAAAACTATGGATCAGTGGAAACCTCCTAACAGTTTGGATTTCAAATGAAATCTGGCGCAAAACTGGGGAACGTGGATTCAAAAGTTTGATCTGTATCTAATTGCAACTGGCATTGCAGAAAAGAGTGACAAGGTCAAATTTGTGACATTTTTTCACGTGGCGGTAGATGATGCCATAAAGGTATTTAATACCATGGACTTTGATGATGATGTGGATGATTTTGAAGTCCTCAAAGAGAAGTTTAGAGAATACTGTGAGCCAAGAAAGAATATTACGTATCTGATTTTAGCCGCATGTGCAAAACACCACAACAAAAAGGCAAACCAAGAAGATTTGAGAAAAAAAGTATATGAGATAGAACAACAAGAAGATGCTGAATTGTTTATAGGTACCATAGAAATTCAACGAAGTGAGCAAACAGCTATAGCAAATGGCTGACACAAATGAATACAGTCTCTACCATGGAAAGTGAAAACAAGAAATGGACTCAAGAATTCAGAATAAACAAATCCATACTTACCTTTAAGCTAGATATAGGAGCAGAGTGCAACGTGTTGTCATTTAAATATTTTAAGAAAATCTCTAACAAGACAACAACTCTAAAGAAGTCAAATGCACGTTAGTTACATATTCTGGCCACACGATGGAGACAACGGGTAAAGTAAGGCTTAAATGTGGTTACAAAGACACTGAGTTTGATCTAGAATTCCACGTTGTAGATGAAGATTCACCAACAATTCTGGGAAGAGAAGCATGCTCAAAACTTGGACTGATTAAAAGAGTGTACAAAGTAGAGAACAAAGACCAAACTGACATTCTGAGGGAATATCAAGATGTGTTTACTGGTTTAGAATGTGTACCAGGACTGCATCACATAAAGCTCAATCCAGATGTTGCTCCAGTCATTCACGCACCATGAAAAGTACCCATAGCGTTAAAGGACAGGGTCAAAATGGAACTGAAACGGATGGAAGATCTTGGAGTCATAGCGAAGCAAACCGAGCCCACTGATTGGGTTAATAGTATGGTTACAGTCGTGAAGCCAGAGAAACTCAGGATCTCCATCGATCCACAAGATCTTAATAAAGCCATCAAGAGAGAACACTATGCATTGCGTGCAATTGAAGAAATAGTAGCTGAGATGCCAAATGCTAAAGTCTTCTCAGTGCTTGATGCCAATCATGGATTCTGGCAAGTACCCCTGGATGATGAGAGCTCCAAATTATTCGTTCAACACTCCTTTTGGAAGATACCGTTTTTTGAGGCTTCCATTTGGCAAAAGTGTCAGCTCCAGAAGTGTTTCAAAAATGCATTGCACAAAGACTAGAAGGCTTAGATGGAGTCGTGAACATGGATGAAATTCTGGTGTGGGGTGAAGACATGGAACAACACGACAAGAGACTAAGACAATTGTCAGACAGAATCAGAAACATCAATCTAAAGTTGAACAAAAACAACTGCAAGATCAGGATGACCGAAGTCAGCTATGTTGGACACATTCTGACTGCAGAAGGGTTGAAGCCAGACAAAGAGAAAGTCAGAGCGATACAGAACATGCCAGAGCCAGAGGACAAAGCTGCACTAATGAGGTTCTTAGGCCTGCTTCAGTATCTGTACAAGTTCGTTCCAAACATGTCAGACATCAATGCTCCGTTGAGGAAACTGCTAGAGGGAGATGTAGCATGGCAAGAGCTTTGAAAGACTGAAGTCACTTGTGAGCAACGCCCCAGTGTTAAAGTACTTTGATGTCAAGAAAGAGATAATGCTGTCAGTGCACTCAAGCGCTGAAGGTCTGGGAGAAGTGTTGCTGCAAGAAGGACTGCATTCGGCTCAAGGTCTCTTACTGAGTGACAGAAAAGATATGCCCAAATAGAAAAAGAGCTCTTGGCGATTGTCTATGGCTGCGAGAAGTTCCATCAGTATGTCTATGGTAAGACAGTATACAAGTGGAGACGGATCATAAGCTCTTGGAGACGATGTTCAAAAAGTCTCTCCAAAAAGCTCCTCCGAGACTGCAGAGAATGCTGATGAGACTGCAGCTATATGATTTACGTGTTAGTTACAAGCCTGGAAAGGAGTTGTACATCGCAGACACTCTGAGTCGAGCCTACCTAAAAGAACAAACAGAACCACTTCTGGAAGATGAGTTACAAGTTCATACTTTGTCAGTTTGTCTGCCAATCTCAAAGAAAAAGTTGAAATGAAATGTAAAAATAAATAAATCTTCTACTATATATAATAATCAATATTATCAGTTTAACCATTATGCAGCATGACGAAAATGTGACTGTTTTCATTGACCAAAACTAAGTCAATAACTAAAATGCCCATTAGGCTTGGTTTTCCAGACAGGGTTTTGATTGAGTCAGGATTAGACCTTAGTTAAATTAGGGCATTTAAGTAGCTTTTATAAATGTGTTTATTAATGGTTTTTAAAGGTCTACATGGGCTCGCCCCCGTATATATTTCGAGTTTGTTACAGCAGCATGTTGCGGCTAGACCACTTAGATCCCCGCAAAGCTTTACTCTAAATGTACCAAGAGCTCGGTTAAAAACCAAGGGAGATCGTGCTTTCGAGGTAGCAGCACCGCGTCTTTGGAATTCTCTTCCTTTTTCGATCCTGTGATTCCATCAAGTGTTTCAAGTCTAGGTTAAAGACCTATTTTTTCTCGGCTGCTTTTAAGTGTTCTTAGTTATATGTGGTCTTTATGTTGTGTTTTTTGTTTAAGGTGTTGTTGTCTATTTTGTTTTGTACAGTTGAGTCTGTAAAGCACTTTGGTCAACTTGTGTTGTTTTTAAACGTGCTTTAGAAATAAATATATATATATATATAATGTATATGTGCCTAAGAAAAAAAAAAACATTACTGGTGTTTCTCTTGAGGCACAGACATATTTTAAGATATGGCTTCCAGAACCTAAGAGAGTACAATAACGGCAAAGCACAATAGTTTCTCCTGAAAGATAAAGTTTAAAGTTGTTTATGGATCACAACCTGTAAGTATATATTTTATTATTTGTGGCTCCGAAGTGTTTAGCTACAAGGCTCTCGCTTTTGTAATGACAGCACATTTCGTATTCGGGAAGGAGGGGCTTCATCGAAACAGGAACTAAACAGTGTGTTTGAGACAGACTGGGAGGAGAGGTGCTGCAATAATGTAAAATATGTGAAAAATAATGCGTTTTTTGAACTGTCAAGCATGAAAACCTAGAACACCCCAAAAACAATAGCAAGACTTAAACTTAACATAAAAGGGCATAACACTGTAGGACACCTTTAAGGTATAAAGGGAGTTGGATTGTGTGGTTTCGGCAGGTGATGATCAAGCTAAGAGGGGCAGAGGGTGCTGCTGACATATATTGTATATAAGATAATATTGTGTGAATTTAGATATGGGGTATCCAATCCTACTCCTCGAGGGCCACTATCCTGCAGAGTTTAGCTCAAATCCTAATTAAACACACCCGAAACAGTTCATCAAGGACTTTCGGATCACTTGAAGCTTCCAGGCAAGTGGGTTGGAGCAGCTGGAGCTACACTTTGCAGGACATTGGCCCTCCAGGAGCAGGATTGGACACCTCTGATTCAGAGCCTGTCAGGCTAAATTAGACCTCTGCTTGAAGTGCATCTGTATGTGTTCCGTGATTAGAATATAAAACATACAAGCAGTTAATCATATCATAATTATATAGCTTAAAGGAACACTCCGACTTTTTGGGACTTTAGCCTATTCACCTTATCCCCCAGAGTTAGATAAGTCCATACATACCTTTTTCATCTCCGTGCGTGCTATAAGTCTGTTTGACGCACCCACCGCTAGCCTAGCTTAGCACAAAGACTGGATGTAAATGGTTGCAGCTAGCATACTAATCCAAATAAGTGACAAAATAACGCAAACATTTTCCTATTTACATGTTGTGGTTTGTATAGTCACTGAGTGTACAAAAAACAAAGTCACATGAGACACAGACATATTTTAACCGTATAAATACTGGGAACTATATTCTCTGAAGGCGAAGCACTGCTACTTGGGCGGAGTGATAACCGCAGCACCTGAGACGCGCTCTCTGCTCCTCACCACGGCTCGTCTCAGGTGCTGCGGTTATCACTCCGCCCAAGTAGCAGTGCTTCGCCTTCAGAGAATATAGTTCCCAGTATTTATACGGTTAAAATATGTCTGGGTCTCATGTGACTTTGTTTTTTTGTACACTCAGTGACTATACAAATCACAACATGTAAATAGGAAAATGTTTGCGTTATTTTGTCACTTATTTGGATTAGTATGCTAGCTGCAACCATTTACATCCAGTCTTTGTGCTAAGCTAGGCTAGCGGTGGGTGCGTCAAACAGACTTATAGCACGCACGGAGATGAAAAAGGTATGTATGGACTTATCTAACTCTGGGGGATAAGGTGAATAGGCTAAAGTCCCAAAAAGTCGGAGTGTTCCTTTAAGCTATCAGATACAGCATTTTGGTCAGGAACTGCTAATGCACTAATGGAAAATGTAGGTATTATTTCTCTTGAAAAGGGTATTCTCTATATAGTACTTTGTAGGCTGTGTCAGGTAGGTACTGTGGTTAGAAACTGCCTTTCAGCTGATAGAGAGTGCTGTGTACTGTGCATTTATTTGAATTCTTTATGAGCCCATCCAGTTCTGCATGGAAAAAAGTGCACATTGGTATTTCATTCTTGTGTGCATATTCATATTCATCTCATATGTGCATATTTTCAAAGTTGTTACACAATAACAGCTACTGTATTTTAAACTTTAACAAAACAGTACATCCTTATTTAAATGTTATAGTTTTAGCATATTTTTTTTACTTGGATATCTTAAGATGGAGAGACCTTTCCTTCACTTATAAATTGAAGAAACCTTTGTCTTATTTCCTTTGTTCTCACTCCATAAACAATTGGGTTAAAACAACTTGGAAAAAGTAAGTACACGACTACTGGTAGACAAATTATTTCTTATTCTGAATGCAATCACGGCAAAAATTAAACTACTTGCCATAACAATAATGTGAGTAATGCAGGTGTTTATGGTCTTCATGTGGGTCTTACCAGATAAAGTGTATAAAATTACAAAATAAGAAACAGAAATGAGAATAACTATTGGAAACACTAATCACTGTTATGGTGACTTCAAATGAAACACATTAGAGTTAAACCCTGGTTAATTCTCAGTAAAACCTTCTGTAGACGTCTGACAGAAAAAAGTCAATCTGGTCAGTAATAAGTGAAGCTGGTAAAGCTGTTTGTGGAGTTGTTTAATCCACCTCTGCTGAGATCTTGAGAGATTTAATGTCTTCTTTTATCTTCAGTTGATTTCATCTAAGACTGTGGCTGGAAGTCAGTTGGTAAATGGTAAATGGTAAATGGACTGCATTTATATAGCGCTTTCACAGACCCAATGGCCACCAAAGCGCTTTACAATTTGCCTCACATTCACCCATTCACTCACTCATTCATACACCGACGGGCACAGTTGTAGTTCTTGTGTTTCTGCTCATCTCTTTTTCTGTTCTCGTCCTTCCTTCAGTGATTCTGCTTGTTAACAGGCTTATTAAGGCTGAAATGACTCCATATTTCACGAGTTCACACTTGCATACAATTAGAGTGGATAAGGTTTAATGCGTATTTGGTGTGCTGTCCGGGGGAGGGCTCCGAGCTCGGAGTTTGGCCTGAACCCAGAGTACTCCCCCCTATGTAAGTGTTTAGGACTAGAAGTGTGAAAATGGAGTATCAATGGAGTGAGGTGAGACTGCTGAATCTATATATACCTCTTATCATTGATTGCTGGGTGCACTCCACTCGTGTTAATTAACTGAACGTGCTCCTCCCGAACTTTGTTAATAAAACATCATTTAATATACACAGATTTTGTGGCTCAGATAAGGTCCAGTTCTGGTTTATTTCTTTGCTCTTGGCTGACATGTGGCATTGCTATGGCCTGCTTGTGGCCCAGATCTGGCAAACAGGAGTTAGGCACCCAATGTACCCACCCGTTATTCCACGCTGCATGTGGGCCAGATCATCTTTCCACATGTGCCAGATGTGGGCCGCATCTGGGCCGTCACTATATGTGGGTCAGTGTGGGAACGTGTGGGAAAAGACTGTATGCAAGCAATCTAAAAATGTAGTTTTTAAAGAAATTATATATATTTGTTAAAATGAATGACTGATGGCATCAACAAAATAACACAGGCAATTGTTTTAGGTAATGATTGCCATGGCCAAAGCTTTGCTAGAAATATATATGTATTGCTGGAGCAAAATAACTTTTCCATACACACACACACACACACACACACACACACATATATATATATATATTTATATATATATTAGGGCTGTCAAATGATTAATCGTGATTAATCACATCCAAAATAAAAGTTTTTTTACATAATATATATGGGTGCACTGTGTATAATTATTTTATATATATAAATACACACACATGCTTATATGCATATATTTAAGAAATATTTTCATGTATATACTGTATATAGATTTATATATAATTTATATTATATATAAATATAAATATTTTATATATAAATAATATTTTTTTCTTAAATATACATGCATGTGTGTGTATTTATATATATACAAAATAATTATACACAGTGCACCCACATATATTATGTAAAAATTTTTTTTTTTTTTTTGGATGTGATTAATCGTGATTAATCATTTGACAGCCCTAATATATATATAAATATATATATATATATGTGTGTGTATTTATGGAAAAGTTATTTTGCTCCAGCAATACAGACTACTACCAGGAGAGGGAGACAATAATGTATGTTTTTTTTACTCAAATCTGTATATGAAGCTTAATTTACACCTCAGACTATCATTACAGATAACTACAGATTCTAAGCTTTGGTACACCCTATATTACTGAAAATGATTATATGGTTGAATACCTGATTTTTACAATATTCTGGTAGTAAGTTTTGTTTACTTCATAGAGATTGGTTTCTTAGAGGTGTGTATACTGTAGTAAGCACAGTAGAAAATATACAGGTAACAGGTTGTATTTCTCTTATTAAGAGAAAGTATAAATGGAGTAAAAAAAATATTTATAATTTAGTAGGCTTTATCAGACAGGCTTGAGAAAAAAATGTAGCTGATGGAGAAAGCTGTTTTTTTTTTTTTTTTGCTAATTGATTTAGTTAATAACTCCAGTTCTGTATACAAAAATTGTGCACAAGGATATCATTCTTGTAAATTACCATCAGTGTTTACAGTATGTTTATTAATAACTACATATTTTCATATTTTCAAATGGCCATTTTAAACTTTATAGCTTTAACAAAACACATCCTTTTTTAAAATGTTACAGTATCAGCAATATTGTTGATCTTTTTTAAAAAAAAACGGATTTCTTTGCAAAGGAAAGATTTTTACTTCTCTAATAAACTGAAGAAACTTTTGTCTTATTTCTTTTGTTCTCACTCCATAAACAATTGGGTTAAAACAACTTGGAAAAAGTAAGTACATTGTGCTCACAAATACACGACTACTGGTAGAAAAATTATTTCTTATTCTGTATGACATAAACGCAATCAGGGCAAAAATCAAACTACATGTCATAACAATGATGTGAGTAATGCAGGTGTTTATGGCCTTAATCTGGGCCTTACCAGATCTAAACACAGAGATAAAAATAACAGCATAGGAAGCAGTAATGAGAATAAAATCTGCAGTTGGTATAAGGAAAGCAGACAATAGTCCTACCAAGTTATTAATAGATATATCTCCACATGCTAACTGAACCAACGCCATGTGTTCACAAAAACAGTGATCAATCACATTTGTTAAACAAAATGACAGTTTTCCAGCCAGAGAGACCATGGTGACATTCAGGAGTCCATTTCTCATTACTGGCACAACAATAAACTTTAGGAAGTTAGGGATTTCCATGTATTTATGATAATGAAGAGGTTTGCATATTGCAAAGTAACGGTCCAGTGCCATCCAAAAAAGCAAAGTGGACTGAAATGATCCAACATAATGAATGCAAAACATTTGTATCAAACAACCTGTTAGAGATATCCCACTCCAATTAAACAAAAAACTAAGAAGCATGTTAGGTACAAAAAATATAGGCGAGATTAAGTCTACAACAGCCATTAAACCTATTAGTACATACATAGGAGAATGCAGAGACTTTTGACATATGATTAAATATATGAGAATACTATTTGCTGTGATAGACAGAAAAAACATCAGAAAGAAAGGGATAAATAACAAAGGCCTCCATTCTCCTAGGCCGTAGAAACCAATCAGATTGAAGTCTGTGAATGAAATATTTTGTGCAGACAGATTCTTCATGCTGTTAATAATAATAAAAAAGGAATTAATGCCTAAAGATAAAAACTATTTTTTCCCCATGTATGTCCAGTTGGCAATGCTACATTTCAGAGTGATAAAAAAAAAAAAAAATCTACAGTATTGCTCACAATTCTGCGATTTCAATTTCACAATATGAATTAAAATGCAAAGTGAATGTGCTTTTCATCTATTATCATAATGAAAGGATTAGAATACACTTAATTTTACCTTATTTGTGAGGAATCTTTCTTGTACTGTTGTTGTGGAGAGAAAAAAATCAAGCGGACTTTTACAAGTTAGATGTTCAATGAATGTTTCATTATATAAACAGCAGAAAATTGTAGTAATATAGTAAACAAGATATGATGTTATGTTTAATTACATAGGCCTTTCATGCATTAACCTGTCCCCATTACATTGATGAACTGAAATCTTTGCTCATTTTGTTTAGCTATTATAACTATTTTTCTTGCATGTAAGAGTGAAATGAAAGCTTGACATGAAAACATGGTCTCTAAATACACTATGCCGTGTTCCCATGAGTCTGTAAACTATCCCCATGTTGGAATAGAACCATCCACAGGTTTGCACTTGCAATTATATATATCCCTTATGAAAAAATAAGTATACTCAAGTTAATTTTATTAAGTAGGCTATACTTTAGTAAAGTTCAAGTATATTTTTAAGAATACTCTATGTAGTAAGTATATCAATGTACTAGAAGTTGTATGTGTACTGTTTCAATTATACTTGGGACTTAATTGGCCCACTTTTTAGTTTATAAAAGTATACATTTAAGAATACTTTAAGCGTAACTGTAAACTAAGGGCCCTATCATACATCCGTCGCAATGCAGCGACAAGTGTTTTTAGCTAGTTTCAGCCCGACACAGTTATCCTTTTCACGCCCTGCATTGTTTAAAAAGCAAATGCATTTTCGCACATTTGTGCGCCAATGGGCTGCTGGTCTGAAAACGAGGTGAACTGAAACCTGGTCTAAAGTCAATGCAGTATTTTATTTTGTGTTATTTAAAGGGTGCATTAGTAATATGAGCCTATAGGCGGGTACACAAACCGCGTACACTTCAATTCACGTTTATTTGTTTAGGGCTTTTCACAAAACACATCATTTCAAAGCAGCTTTACAGAAAGTCCATATTACAATTTAGAGTGATCTGTTATCAGAGGTAATTGTCTAAGGGTGTATTCACACCAGGAAAGTCCGATAGTTCACTTGCTTTGGTCCGGACCAAATTATTATTATTTTTTTTTTTTTTGTACGGTTCGCTTTCACACTGCTCTTTTTGGAAGTGAACCAAAATTTGTAAACAAAACCACACGTGTGCTAAGGTCGTCCATTCATTGGACAAGGATTCTCAAGTAGGGAAATCAGGAAGTGCAAAAAAGGCTCAGCATGGAGATATTTCATACTGCAATATTTGTTATTTTACTAATTTTGTGTTATTCTGTACTTAAACGCAATATGAAGAAACTGCGCAGAAGACGGATAAGGTATAAAGTTTTGATTCATAGAGAGGGGCCATGTTCACACATTCAAATAATGAGATTCTTATTGTATATACTGCTAACAAGTGCTGTCAATGTTAACGCTTGCGATTAAGTTTGTCCAGTTTAACGCAGCAGCATCATCATTGTATTGTAACTATCGTTACATTATATGAACTGCAAAAGCTTTTTTTTTGCATCTATGCGCGATTAGACTAAAGACAACGCTCTGTATGTGAATGTCCTGATGCACACACTCATTCATTCATTCCATTCCAATGACGCACACATGACGCGCAGAAAGACACGCAACAGTATCGTGTGGCCAGACAAGCGCGCGCGCGCCGGAATGGAATTTTCTTTCGCACTTGAACAACAATAACACAAACCATTATGCCAAAATCTCCGACTACGGAAGCCTGTTAACTCAAAGGCGCAGTGCTTTCTTGCAATTGGGTCGGTTCATGTTCACACCGTAAACGAACCGTACCAGAGTTCGTTTGGAACCGTACCGAGACCACCTCTTCAGCTGGGTCTCGGTTCGGTTGTTTGGTCCGCACCCGAGTTCGATTGCTGTATTCACACCTGCCCAAAAGGTCCGCATCAAGGGGGGAAACGAACTAGAGTTCGATTCAATCGAACCAAACAAGGCATGTGTGAATACACCCTTAGTTAAGTATTTCAGAAATGTAAATATACAAAGTCACAGTTAGCTAAAAATGTAATAATTTAAACCATGTAATAATTTAATGATATAACAGTATAAGGGTAGGAGATCCATTATATGAATGCTTGGCTAAAGAGATGAGTCTTTAATCTTGATTTAAACTTGGAGAGCGAGTCTGAGCTCTGGACATTATCAGGAAGGCTATTCCAGAGTTTAGGAGTCAAATGTGAAAACGCTCTACACTCTTTAACGAGTTTGTTTGCCCATAGAATCTTTAAGATATTAGGTTAAAATTATTTGGCTTGCTGTCCACTGGAGAGGGGCTCGATGAAGCAGCTTCAACTCGAGCTCTGATATACCCCCCCAGTGGCTAAATGTAGGACCTGATAATAAAAAGGGCAAGGTACCTAAGATGAAGGTGGAGTTTGGGGAGGTGGAGGGATACTGGAACAGCTGATGATAGGGAGAGGTGAGCGGCTGCTTATATACTCAGGCTGTTGATTGAAAGATTAGATTGGCTCACTCCTCCCTAACTTACGTTTAGGAACTTCATTTAGTGGACTTAGATATTCTAGGTACTATCAAGAGACCAGAGTACTATCGAAACACTCTGCTTATTACACACACACAGGGGCGCGCAGCGGCACACAAACATGCCAAGTATTAAAAATAAATGGATTACAATGTAAAAGATTAATGATAAAGATATGGTGGAATCCGACTTGTGCCGTAGATGGTCTTTAAACTCGCGCACGAGCAGATCCATTTCCTCGCTAGAGAAAAGTTCAGTTTTTCCGCTTGCAAATTCTGCCATGTAAATAGCGAATCCGCCATAGTGCGAGCGCAACTGGCTTTGCATCACAAACCACACCCTGTAAAGAGGATATGAATGGAAGCGTGCTGAACTCACTCATTCAAACTTTCGCTTCGGAGCTGAGCATTTCCCGCGATTCTGCTCTGCAATCATCGTTCAAGTGTGTACAACAAACCAGGAAGAAGCTCTATAGAGAGTGTCGGTGGTGGCACGTCAGCAGCGATTGCTTCTAAAAGAGCTTTCTCTGCCTTCATTGTAGTTCTCCTAAAAGAGAATTTCACTCGCTGCAGTACAGACTGCCTGAAGTGGGCATTCGTGAGTGGTTCATGTTCCAACAAAGTTTAATAGCAAATATATTCAGCAACAGGCATTAGCAAACACCACTAAATGTGAACATGACCAGACAAAGAGTGAAGACAGGGGTACAACTATAGTGAACTAAACATTGTAATTAATAGACCACAGCTGGAAGAAATTAACTAATAATGACGTGACCATGGTAACTAAGAGTGGCGGGAAATCAAAAAAAAGGAAGGCATGAACTAAAGGAATACAAACTAAAAGTTCTTGAACTGAATTAAACTGAACATAATGGTGAGAGAGATTGACTTAATTATGTATAAGATGAAAAAAGCATGTTACCAAGGGGTTAGGGTTTGGATGGTTAGCATGACCCATTCTGGTGGATGTCACCATATCAGGCCTTTCATTGTTGATGGCAGCTAAAAGGTTGCGTCCTGACAATATACTTTTTGCAAATGACCAAATTTTACATTTTTCAAATATTTTATTACATTATAGTAGTTTTTACAATTTTACAATGTAGATACGACATCTAGAATATGCAAAATGTGTCCCACAAAAAGTCAATTTCAAGTTCCCGAAAAATGCTTTGTGCCCTTCATACCACTTATGTAATTTGTGAATTTGCTTTTATACTCATTTTGTTTTCCTACTTTAAGCATTTGCAAGGTCTAGCAAGTGTATTAAACATGTAAATAACAATAAAACATAGATTGTCCCTTGATTTCTTGTCATTGCTGTTATCAAATTGTACAAAAGGTTGTAGAAAAAGGCAAGTTTTAAAATATCAAAGTTCAGGATATGATCAGGCTGTTTAAATGTGCATATGGTGATTTTCCATATCCATTATTGTTCCAAACTGTTCTTCCTATCTAGAGTAGGGGCATTGGAGCAGTGTCTCAGGCCATTAAACATATGTTTTGCTTTTGCTTTATTTTCCTATTTATTGTAATTATTATAAGGTCTGACTGATATTTAAGAGTCATGGTGATAAACTTTGTGTAACTTTGCCCGCTTATGACAGTATAGAGAACTCTTAGAAAGCTCTCATTCATCACTCATTACTGGACGTTGTTTAGCTAGACCCATCTCAAGGGCCCTATATGTTTTTGTTGCTATAACAAGGGTCAAACCTAACACTTGGCGGTAAACACATTAAGTAGCACTCAAGGGGAGGCTTAAGATTAGACTGAACCATGATATACAGTTGACGTCAACAAGGGTCCAATTATCTTATTTTTGTGTTAATTAGACTCTGACCACTTATCACAAGAGATATCATAACTGTGTATTGAAAAAAAGAAAACACCAGGTTTATATTGCATCATTGGTCAGCTGCTGATTGTTTACTTCTAATTTATTTTATTTTATTTTATTTTATTTGAAAAAGAATCAGGTGTTGAAACAATGTTGATGATAACATTCACAACCCCTTTAAGTATGTATTTAGCTTGGCAAAAATAATAAATTATGTAATATAATACAGTTTTGACTGATTGAAAAGCATTCATTTTTAAAAGTAGTATAATAAATTTGGTGCATGATAAGAGTGTGTGTTAATACACATCTTCCTCCTATGTGTCATGGTCCATGGAGCTTCTTCGTGGCAAGCTTGAAAGTAGTTGTTGGATCACTCTTGGCTTCAGGCTAGACAGAAATCTTTTTAATATCCATTGTGGTTTGCTGGTCTTCTCTCTCCCCAGAAGACCAGCAAACCATCCTTGCTGCTGCTGTGAAGACCTACAGCAGACTCTGCCTATAAGTTAATATTTCTAACTAAGCAGCTTTAACCATTAAAAACTAGGCAGCATCCTATCAGAGGACAGCGATATCAATCACAAAATCCACAACCGAATAAAACAAACCCTTGCAACCTTTGACAATTTCAGATGAAAGGTCTATCAAAACAACCACTTTCACACAAAAGTTACTATCATTTAAGACAT